AAAAAAAAAAAAAAAAAAAAAAAACCCCCAAAAAAAAAAAAAAAAAAAAAAAACCCCGTTACTTTTAGCGGCCTCTAGGGGTCAGTATGGTATGGAAGACCAAACGAAGAATAGTACATTAATTTAAGAGTTGTTAAATATTTATGTCAAAAATATATACTAATAAAGTCATTAAAAATACATATAATATGCTATAATTATTTAAAGATAGTATATTCAGATGTAAAGTATACAAACATATAGATTAAACAGAATTTCATAAAATAAAGCAAAATCAGAAAACAACTCCCAAAAGAATCTTCCATAAATTAATCTGAATTTATGTAAATCTCTGTGGGTACCACTTCCAAATGTTTCTTCTTCTCATGCTCACAACTGAAACAATTAAAACCATGAAACATATTTAACCATTAAATATTCCAAATTTTAAATAAACACACAAAAACTCATCGGGGTTATCTCCATGCTAAATTGACTGGACTGGACTCTTGGTCCTGTGAAACCAAACAGTTTCTGCATTTGTTCTCCTTAAACAGGCTGAAATATACAGATCACACATTCCTCACAAATGTTATAACCTCTGACTTCCAGTCACTCGTCCTGCTTCGTTTGTAGAGTCGGAAACATGTGACATGTCTCGACTTTTCCCTTTAATCTGCTTCTTTTTGTATTTTTATTTTAAAAAAGGTCTTTCTCTAAAACTTACATGTAAATCCGTGCTAAGCATAAAATTGTTGGATGTACTGTGAAATGTGTGAACTGCTTAACCTATTTGTTTCTCATATTCCTTAAGTTTGAGCTGGTATGAACTGAATGAACCGGACAGACGGATAGCAACAGGAATCCTTGTTACTTAATTTGGCTCAGAAAAAGCTTGTCCACAGGTTTTGCTTTTCCTCCTTCAGAGCTCAGCATTTGGACAGACTTTACAAATAAGGGAAAAGGACAACACACTAGTTTATTGCAGTCCGTTTTTTTTTGCTTGTCAGATTATAATCTTAAACTTTAATGTATTTCATTTGGAATGTAATTTACAAATACAGAGCAGATTATGTGTTTTATCACATAACTCTGACATGTAGAGGAACCCTACTTGGTTTCGATATTTCAGCACATCTGAACTGATGGATCTGCTCTCATCCTTGACAATAATCCATATATTATCTAAAGTCAGGGCGTGAAGCGCACATCTTGAATTCCTCAAGAATCTGGACCCTTGATCTCCAAATGAAAAGTAAAACTTAGCATTTTTTTTCATCCAAACATTTTCCTTCCACTTAACTTTTGTAATCATTGCAGGTACTCAGCTTCTTCAGCAACAACATAGCAGCTTAGCTCATTTGTGAAGAGTGTCTCAGAGTATCCGCTGAATCAATGTCAAAGCAGTCTCCAATTCAACATCAGCCACAATCTGAGTTCTGTGTTGAAAATCCCTTTCTATGGGTCTTACTCCAATTTGATAAACAGAACTTTAGAGTTTTCATCATCTGCCAGCAATAATCTATATTAAAGTAAGTCTTAAATTATCAGTAGTAATAAATCTTAACACGCATAATAGGTTCACTGTCTGAATTGAATTACTGAAATTTAACTTTACACTTTCAGCTGACCTGTCATTACAACAAGACTCGGTCTTATGTAATGATCCCAACTTTAATCTCATCTTTTATTTTCTTTACATTTGACAAGATCTCATATAAACTGTACAGTCATGCAAAGACAAACTTAAATCTAATAAAATAAAATAAAATAAAAAAAACAAACAGCAATGTAAAACAACAAAGACAACTCATTATGCATATGTACAATTTATAAATTAGATCCTTTACAACCTCAGGTAACTAACAAATCTCTGGTGGTCCATTTTGTGACAGTAAGTAAACCATTATGCGTCAAACAGAGTGGATTTATTCAACATGAGTCCGTTTTCTCCTCTGCGATAGTTTAGCTGATATTTCACAGATCACACCAACGCAATCAAGTTAGAAAACGACTCATTCCAATTCTGTGAAGCGGGCAAACATTGCTTTCCGGACTGCGTCTTTGTATGTATCTGAAGCAGACAGGGTGTAGTTGGTTCCCTTGGTGCCAAGTCCAGCTCCTTTAGTTCTCAACTGTGCCTGCAGGGGAAAAGGACAGGCATCAGCACGCTCTACGGTAATTAATGCTGCTCAGTCGGATGGAGCCCGTCGTCTCTGGGTCTACCTCTATCGGAGCGGTGATGCCCTGCTGGTTGCGACCAAGACCTTTCCCCTCCTTCCAGCCCATCGCTTGCAGCATCTTATTCCCAATATTATCACTGGTAAGGCCATCTTTAGTGGGCTGCTCATAGTTTCTGCACAGGTAATAAACCAAATATTACATTTGTATAGTAAAACAAAAAAAAATAAATAAAAAAAAGTACAATTTGTGTCTTAAATAAAATACACAACAATGCTCTTACACGACTGGTGCTGGCTGGTTGAATTTCTTCTTTTTAGGCACTGGTGGTTCTGGAATGCCGTATTTTTCTCTTCTCTCAGCTGCTCTGTCCCTGTATTTTTGCTGATGCCAAAAATATATACATTTCAAATTAAAAAAAGGTCAAAGTAAGATGAACATAACCAAGCATATGAGTGTATTCTCAAACCTCTGTTTCTTTCCTTTCCAACTCTTCCAGCTCTGCTTCACTCATTTTAGATCTGCGGAGAACTTCAAGGTTTTTCTAAGAAAACAGATTTTTTTTTTTTTTTTTAGTTGGGACTGTTGAAATTTGAAATAAATCAGTCAGAAGTCAGTAAGTTAGGGTGATACCTTGTGAAGGTCAGAGAGCTGCTGATGTCTCACTAAACCCTCTTTGTTGGGGAACTGTCTCCTACACAGCAGACAGGCCATCTTCTTCCAGTCTGTCAGTTTGTCCAGACTCAGGTCACCGCCATCGGATTCTCCTCCTCCGACTCCTTCCTCAGGGTCACTGTCTCCACTGTAGGCTGCCACCAGGCCACACTAACCCAACACACACACACAGAGGCAACGTCCCATAAAAAACAGATAACTCGGAGGCCACACCTAATGAAACTCCAGAAAGAGGAAATACCTTGGAAGAACTGGCAGAGTTTATAGGAAGTGCTTCCTCTTCAGCGCACCTCGCAACCTCTTGCATGAGTCTGTCTAGACCTGCCTGCTGAAGAGTCATTCAACACGTTTAATCTAAATTTGTCAACCATTACCCACTAGGATGTTTACTTGTTGAATCTTATGAAATACCTTCTTCTCAAACAACGTGTATCCAGCATCAGCTGCTGCTGCCTCCTTCCTCTCTTCTTGACTGATGGGCTGAAAGCTACTTTTGAAGTTTTCTTTCTGCTTATTGAGGCTTTTAGCCCACCGTTCCATGTCTTTAGCAATCTGAAATATTTAAAAATCAAAGTTTAAAAAAACAAAACAGTGATAAAACGGATAAAGCTAAACAGAACAGATAAAGTGCCTTAAAGTGGGATTTACAAAAATACCTGCTGTGCAGTCTTGCTCTTTGGTTTCTCTTTTTTCTCTTTAGGCTCCTTGTTGCCTCCCGCTGAGCCATTTGCTGTTTTATCATTCTGCCCAGCGTTTATGTTGCCAGAGGCCGGTACATATGTCTGTTTCTCACTATCCCAGTACAGGTACTGCTGAGTCTGAGTGTTGTAATAATACTGCAACATAAAGCAGTGATGTACAGAATCAAAACATTACGAAATCTCTCCAACCAAACTGGGTGATATTAAGGACTTTGTGTTACTTACTTGTGAATTTGGGTCGTAGTAGAGGCCAGTCTGAGGGTCGTAATAGTAGCCAGAGGACTCATCATATTGATAGGTAGATGTATCAGGAAGAGAACCTGTTGATTATGGAAACATCAAGTTAATACTTGTTAATAGAATCCTGGTAGGCGCATTAAAAAGTTGTGATAGTACCAGTTTAGGATATTTAGGTTATTACTGCTGTATAATAAAAAGTCCTAGAAGTTAAAGAGTCATCAGAAAACCTTCACCAAGTCCACTGGTGACTAGTGGACTTAGTTTAGCATCTTCAGTATCACTCAGGCAATAAGAAATCAGAGAAGGTACATATAGGCAGCTATGTTTTCTACAACACATTAAAACATTTGTTGTTAATTGGGGCTCAGACAGATGAGACTGGGTCGCTACGGGCACTAATTGATAAGATGTTAAAAATTTGTTGTGCATTTCATGACAGTAAAACCCTGTTTTCCATCAGCTGCTTTATCACACAGCGAGACATCATCTCGGTTGCTACCATGAATATTCAAAGCAGAACGGTTATAAACAAATATTATAAATAGCTGACTGTATCTTTTTTATCAATACTTCAGAGTAAAGTCAGAATCAGCTTAAGTTTGCATTGGCAGGTCATCCATTCAACTCTGATCAGTGCCTCCATCTGCTAGAAAAAGCTAGATTCAATTGAAACCGACCAAAACCTATTTAAAGTAGCTCAATTTTTCATAAAATTGTAGTTTTAAAAAGTAAAATTAAAAAGTCAGATTGTATCCATTACAAAAAAAAAAAAAAAGTATATTAAAGCAACAGATTTGTCCGTACCACTGGTGGACTCCGCCGCCGGTCCAGCAGCTGGTACTGCACTGGCTCCATTAACCTGGGCAGCAGCTACAGCCAAAGCAGGCAGAGCTACAGATTCAACAGCTGCAAGTCCTGGCTGAGGTTTTGCCTCCAGTTGCTGAGCAAGAGGCAACGCCTGGAATTAGAGTTTAGATGTTTTTTTTAGAAGTTGATATTGTTTTTCAACTTCATGTAATTCATTACAACCGATGACATTACCTGTACAGCAGGTGGCGCAATGATATGTGGTTGGTAGACTTGTGGACTCTGCGATATCACAACGGCAGCAGGAACCAGCTTTACACCCGGAGCAGCTAAAACCACAAAGAAAATCCAATTATTACAGCATTCTGAATCGTTAAAGCTTTAAAGTGAAGTAGAGCAGTAGAGTGTTGCTGTGGTATGTGTACACAAGAAGATGTCCTGCAAGTTTTAAATATGTCCCTGTTCCAACACAGCTGAAACAAATGTTTACTTCCACACCTCTGCAAAACTTCATAACATGCTGAGGAGAACATTCGTCCATTTGAATCAGCTGAATTAAAACAACATATTTAAAGCATGCAAGACAGCAGCTTTTGAAGAGTTTAGTTAAACAGTCCTGTCCTACATAAAGTAACGGATTCAATTGTGAAAAAACGGAATATTAAATTAAGACAAAAGTTAAAACATTACACCTTTATATGATCTAATGTGGGAAAAAAAGGCAATTTACCTCCTAGGATTCCATTTCCCTGACAAGTACTGGCTGCTGTTCCTTGATGATAATATGTCTGGTAGTCCTGTAAAACATCCAAAGCAAATGTTAATGTATAATTTAAACATATGACTTTCCCGTTAGTCTTGGATTCCTACAAATGAACTCTTTTCTACATATATAAGTGTATTTTTACTCCAAATATTTGGCACTTTGTTGAACTAACCTGTGACAGAGGAGCGTAACTTTCCTGCAGACAGGCATACTCTGACATCCCGTCTGAGCTCTGCTGTGGCTGGAAGGTGGAAAATAGATTATTAATGTGTGATCCCAACAGCTGCAGAAAAACAAAAAAAAACAAGGCACTCTGAGAAAAATGGGCCAACCTGAGCTGATGACCACTGTGCTGCTGCAATGGCTGTGCTGGCCACAGAAAAAGCACTGACACGATTCCCATCAGGCAATAAGAGGTCCCTAGTTAAGACAAAAAGTTAAATTACTTTGTGCTCAACAAAAGTGGTAGTTCCATAAGTACAACTAAATGCCTTTTAATGCTTTACAGAGATGACTCACTTTCTAGCACTCTTAGCATAATCCACCCCGATTGTTTTCCCATCCATTTTCAGTGGAGGTTGCAAACCTTGTAAGATGGTTAGCAGCTGGGAAGCTTCCTGCAAAAAGTTGAGATATCAAATTTAAAATGGTACATTTAGACCACTGGGTTGTGATTTGTGTTGATAAATAATTCAATATGTATCCAAGGTTGTTTTACCAGAGGGGAGGACAGCTGAACAAAAGCAAAGCCTCTGTTCTGGCCTGTTTGCTTGTCCTTAATAAGGCGAATGTTATTGGCTGACAAATTGGCGTATGGCGCCAGCGCTGTCAAAATGGTGTCCACCGTGGTCAGAGGAGCAATGTTTCTCAAGATGATTGCTGTAAAAGACGACAAGGATTCACTTTAAGAAAAGCCAATCGTGGATAATCGTTTTAGCTTTTGGATCTGGAAGAACAAGAGCTCTTACTGTCTCCATAGAAATCACCAGTGGGCTGAAGTTCAGGGAGCCCAGCAGCATTGCCCGCTTCACCATCTGTTAGGAGAATCACAGAAATAAAAATGCCATTAACATAACCTTTAATGATGATTTAAAATAACATTTAAAAAAATTAAGTGCTAAA